CTGTTGAAGGAGACTCTTTCGGAGGCTCAGGAACGTTACAAAAGAGCTGCTGATAGGCACAGAAAGGAGGCCCCAGTTTATCATGTTGGTGACAAGGTTTGGCTGTCAACAAAGAATCTTAAGCTTAGGATTCCTTCTCATAAATTGGGTCAAAAGTTCATGGGACCTTTTAAGATAATCGCTCAGATCAATGCAGTCACCTTCCGTCTGCAACTTCCAGATTCCATGAAAATACATCCGGTGTTTCACGTGGCACTGCTTAAACCTTTCATGAAAATACTTTCCCTGGTCGAGCCTTGCCTGCCCCACCACCAGTCCTCGTGGATGGTGAAGATGAATACGAGGTGGAAAAAATTCTTGACTCCAGGATCTTCCGCGACAAGCTTCAATATTTGGTTCATTGGAAAGGCTATGGTGAGGAGGATAGATCGTGGGAACCAGTGGACTATATTCATGCTCCTGATCTTCTTCAGTCTTTCCATGCACAGTACCCTGCTAAACCAGGAAATAGGGCATCCAGAGGCTGCGCCTGTAGAGGTGGAGGTAATGTGAGGAACTGACTCTGCTGGGTTTCGAACCCTGGTTTATATGGTGCTAAACCTTTTCCTTACCAGTACACCAGCCTGCCTTTTGCAAATTTACCTGAGATCTGATACTATTGCTTGTAGAGTCAAGGTTATCAGTGACAACTCACTTCAGCTGTGTCTGGTCAGGCGTCTGGTTCTTGGCCTATAAAAGCCACTTCCTGTCTCTGTACCTTTGCCAGATTATTGTGGTTCCTGTACTCTCTAATCCAGCGTGTTCCTGTTTCTCCTTCCTGTTGCTGAATTTGGACTGTTTTGACTTTGCTGCTTCTCCTTCCCACTGACCTCGGCTTGCCTCACTACGATTATCATCTTTCTGTTCCAGTCTCCCATCTCTGCTTAAGACCAGAAGGCCACTCAAGGCTCAGGGGCTCAACCACCTGGGTAACGAGTGGCTACCTCTGGCAGAAAACATTGCTGATCTGGCTACTGGACTCCAAAACTTTGTAACATCAATATCATTACAGGCAGAGGGGTGAGGTGTGAGAGGACCGACTAGAGAGGAAAATCAGTCTAGCTGCAGCATTCATTACAGACTGTAGCGGGGCAATACGGCTTTTGGGGAGACCAATCAGGAGAGGGTTACAGTAATCCATGCGGGAAATTACTAGAGCATGGACAAGCTCCTTGGTAGCATCTTGCGTAAGAAAGGGGCGAATGCGGGCTATGTTTTTGAGTTGGAACCTACAGGACTTGGCAACAAACTGGATGTGAGACTCAAAGGTGAGACCAGAGTCAAGTATGACGCCAAGACAGCGCGCTTGCAGGGATGGACTTATGTGGATATCACTGACTTGAAGGGAGAGCGAGAGAGGAGGATCAGTGTTAGGAGGAGGAAAGACAAGGAGTTCAGTTTTAGAGAGGTTAAGTTTCAGAAAGCGTGAAGACATCCAGTCAGAGATGGAAGAAAGGCAAGCAGTGACATGTTGCAGGACAGCAGGGGAGAGGTCCGGGGAGGAGAGGTATATCTGAGTGTCATCAGCGTACAGGTGGTAGTGGAATCCAAAAGAGGCAATCAGTTTACCAAGAGAGGCGGTATAAAGAGAAAATAGTAGGGGACCAAGGACAGACCCTTGGGGAACTCCAACCGAGACAGGACGAGTGGAGGAGGTATCCTTGGAAAAGGAGACACTGAATGAGCGTTGGGAGAGATAGGAGGAAAACCAAGAGAGGACTGAGTCACAGAGACCGAGCGATTGAAGAGTTTGAAGGAGGAGAGCATGATCAACGGTGTCAAAGGCAGCAGAGAGGTCAAGGAGAATTAATATGGAGTAATGACCTTTGGATTTAGCAGAGATTAGGTCATTAGTCACTTTGATAAGAGCAGTCTCAGTAGAGTGGAGAGGGCGGAAGCCAGACTGAAGAGGGTCAAGGAGAGAGTTGGAATTAAGGAAGCGGGACACACGGGTAAAGACAAGCCTTTCCAAAAGCTTTGATGAGAAAGGGAGCAGGGATATGGGACGATAGTTAGAAGGGGAGGATGGGTCAAGAGATGTTTTTTCAGGATAGGTATTACAGTGGCATGTTTAAGGTCAGCAGGAACAGTGCCAGAAGAGAGAGAGCAGTTAAAGATGTGTGTTAGGGTAGGCACAAGACAAGGGGAGAGAGATCTGATGAGGTGAGATGGGACAGGATCGAGCGGGCAAGTGGTGGGGCGAGAGGAATGGAGAAGCGCAGCCACCTCTTGTTCAGTAGCCGGGTAGAAAGTCTGGAGGGTAGGGAAAGCAAGATTTACATGTGGTTGAGAAAGAGAACGGCAAGGAGGGGAGAATTGTTTCCTTAGCTGTTCAATCTTGTCGGTAAAGTAGCATGCAAAGCTATCAGCTGTAAGGTTAGTTTGGGGGGTGGCCACAGCAGGGCGGAGAAGGGAATTAAAGGTGTCAAAGAGGCGTCTGGGATTGCGGGAGCATGAACTAATGAGAGAGGAAAAGTATGACTGTTTGGCGAGGGCGAGGGCTGCGCTGTATGAAAGCAACATGAATCTATAATGGAGAAAGTCTGCCTGGGTGCGGGACTTCCTCCAGGAGTGTTCAGCACAACGGGAGCAGCTCTGCAGATAGCGTGTTGATTTATTATGCCAAGGTTGGGGTCGTGTCCTCCTCGAGGTGCATGTTTTGAGCGGGGCTGCAGCGTTCAAGGCAGATGTGAGGGTAGTGTTATATGTGGAGATGGCGAGTGAGGGACAGGAGAGGGAAGGGATGGATAGCAGTTGTGAATCAATGTCAGCTGACAGCTGCTTGAGGTCAATAGAGTTAAGGTTTCTCCTGAGCTGAGGGGGGTTAGGCTGAGATTGTTGGGTGAGGGGGTAATTGAGAGCAAACGATAAGAGGTGGTGATCAGAGAGAGGAAATGGGGTGTTGCAGATATTAGATATTGTACATGAATAAGAGAAAATAAGGTCGAGGGTATTGCCAGCTACATGAGTGAGAGAATTAGCCCACTGCAAAAGTCCAAGGGAGGAAGTGATTGAAAGTAGTTTAGAGGCTGCTGGGGTCAAAGGTGGGTTAACGGGAATATTGAAGTCTCCAAGAATTAGGGATGGGATGTTGGAAGAGAGGAAGTAGGGTAGCCAGGCAGCAAAGTGGTAAAGGAAGAGGAGAGGGGAACCAGGGGGACGATAGATTACGGCAATGTTAGCAGAGAAGGGTTTGAAAAGGCGAATTGAATGAATTTCAAATGATGGGAAGGGGGGGTAGACAGGGTTTTAAAGGTGCAGTGGGGTGAGAGAAGAAAACCTACACCGCCACCTTTAATCTCTGCTTGTCTTGGGTTGTGGGTAAAGTGAAGACCACCAAAAGACAGTGAGGCAGGTGTAGCAGTATCAGAGGGAGAAAGCCATGTTTCTGTTAGTGCAAGTATGTTTAGGGAGTGTGAGATAAATAGGTCATGGATGGAAGTAGATTTAAAGGTGCTGCACACAGAGCGTGCATTCCAGAGGGCAGCTTTAAAAGAGGAATTATAGTGAGAATTACATGGAATGGGTATTAGGTTGTCGTGGTTTCTGGTGTTTGTACCAGGTGGCTGAGAAGCAGGCCCGGACTGGCCATCGGGCACACCGGGCAAATGCCCGGTGGGCCGCGGTGGCCGTGGGGCCGAGGCCGGCAGGGGAGGTCACAGGATCTCCCCGGGCGGCCCCTGCAGGGCCGGCACTGTCCCAGCGCCGGCCCCGCTGTCTGCCACGACGGGCCGGTGGGGAGATCAAAGCTCTCCCTCACCGGCCCACATGCGGCCGCCGGCGGGGAGGGAGGGAGCCAGCCAGCCAGGCTGGAGAGAGGACCCGGCGGAGCTCTAATTTGCAGCTCCGCCGGGTTCCTCTCGCGAGATCCGGCGCGTTGCCATGGCAACGACCGGATCTCGCGAGAGTGAACTCTAGCCTCACAGGCTAGAGTTCACTCACCCACGAGGACCACCAGGGAACCCCGCCACCCCGCCTTCCAGCGTGCCGGACCCCCCCCTCCCAGGCTAAAGGTAAGAAGGGAGGGGGGGAAATAATGACTTTTTTTTTATTTTTTTATTTACCCCCCCTACACACACACACAATAACATTTATACAGCACTCTCACACCCATCACACACAGCACTCTCACCCATCACACACAGCACTCTCACACCCATCACACACAGCACTCTCACACCCATCACACACAGCACTCTCACACATCATACACACACTCTCACACACAGCACTCTCACACACATCATACACAGCACTCTCACAGTCAGCACTCTCACACTCAGCACACTCAGCACTCTCACACACATCATACACAGCACTCACACCCATCACACACAGCACTCTCTCACCCATCACACACAACACTCTCACCCATCACACACAGCACTCTCACACCCATCACACACAGCACTCTCTCACACCCATCACACAGCACTCTCACCCATCACACACAGCACTCTCACCCATCACACACAGCACTCTCTCACACATTACACACAGCACTCTCTCACACAGCACTCTCTCACCCATCACACACAGCACTCTCACACCCATCACACACAGTACTCTCTCACACAACACTCTCACACCCAGCACACTCTCAGCACTCTCACAGCACTCTCACACACACAGCACTTTCACACACACAGCACTCTCTCACAGCACCCTCACACCCATCACACTCACAGCACTCTCACAGAGCACTCTCTCACACAGCACTCTCACACAGCACGCTCACACTGCACCCTCACACACTGCACCCTCACACACGGCACCCTCACACACGGCACTCTCACACACGGCACTCTCACACCCATCACTCACACCGCACCCCTCACACACACCGCACCCTCACATACACACAGAACCCCCCAACACACTGCACCACACACATACTTCCAAATATATATATATATATATATATATATACACACACACACACACACTACACTCTTAAAGGACCACTCTAGCCACCCAGACCACTTCAGCTTAATGAAGTGGTCTTGGTGCCAGGTCCTTCTAGGGTTAACCCATTGTTTTATAAACATAGCAGTTTCAGAGAAACTGCTATGTTTATCAATGGGTTAAGCCTTCCCCCAAAGCCTCTAGCAGCTGTCTCATTGACAGCCGCTAGAGGCGCTTGCGTGCTTTTCACTGTGAAAATCACAGTGAGAGCACGCAAGCGTCCATAGGAAAGCATTATAAATGCTTTCCTATGCGACCGGCTGAATGCGCGCGCAGCTCTTGCCGCGCGTGCGCATTCAGCCGACGGGGCGGATCGGAGGAGGAGAGCTCCCCGCCCGGCGCTGGAAAAAGGTAAGTTTTAACCCCTTTCCAGAGCCGGGCGGGAGGGGGTCCCTGAGCCACATATGCATCACATTACACCACAAACACAACACGACTAAAACCGACCTTATTACACAATACCACACCACGACCAGCTCACTCTACACACACGCAATACCACAAGCAGGCTCCAAACACATGCACAATACTCTTTCCTGGCCTTTTGTCTCCTGGTATCCATTTATAGAGACACCAGAGACAAGTTGCAAGGAAACACAGTGCAAGCATGTTATTAAATTTGCTTGCACTGTGCAGAACAAATACAGGACTTTTTTCTCATGCTAGAGCTCTTCATCAGAGCTCTGCGCATGGTCTGCCCTGGAAGAGCATTGAACCAACATGCTCACTTTGAGAGGAGGCATGTTTGTCATTGGTGATGACAAAACACACCTCCTCTGCCCCGCCCCCTTTTTAGTGGGCCGCTGTGTTAAAAAAATGCCCGGGCCGAATTTTTCTCCCAGTCCGGCCCTGCTGAGAAGAGGAGGGACCAGGGTTTGGAGAGACATCACCTGCTGCTAGGAGTAGTAGGATGGAAAGGAAGAGAAGGTGGGAGTAAGATTTAAATGTTGGGGATGAGAGCTTGTATTTAGGGTATTTAGGAGGGGTTTGTGGAGAAAGGCTGGATAGATATGAATAAAGTGCGTGTGATGAATACTGAGATGAGGGGAGCAGAGAGGGAGCAATGAAGATGGTGTTAGCAGGAACAGGTAAGTAAAATGATAGAGAGATTTTAATGATGAGGGAGGTGAGAGAGAAAGTGAAAAATAGAAGTGAGAACATTAGTAGGAGAGTAGGTGCTGTATTTTTAAGAGCTGTGGTTAGGAGGGTTAAGGGTTAAAGAGGTATTGAGTGAGTATAGCTTTTTTTGGGTGTGGAGGGCTTGGTGGACAGAGGCTAACATAATTGGTTCAGAAGAAAGGTAGGTAATTTGAACTATCTATAAATGTAGTGATAACCATGGGGAGGGTGGGGTGTGGGGTAGGGTGGGTGGGAAGCGATCATCCAGAAATGCTACCTCTGCTTATGGCAAGTCCTGCAGGGTTGTGTGCTGGGAGTCCTGGGTGTAGCTGATTCAATATTGTATGGGGCCCAGGCTATAAAGGAGAGAATCTGTGGTTAGATAAAGCAGATTGTGGGTGGAGAATCATTTGGGTGTTAAAAACAAAAATCAAGGAAAAAACAGATGAAAGGGAATTTAAATTTAAGGATATGAGGGAATGGCAGAGATAAGATAGGTAAAAGTCATAAATAGGGAACATCATAAATTAATGAGGCATAGAGTGCAACAACTAACACTAGCAAAACAAACATGTAACTAAACAAGAGTTAAAGGATGGAGGGTGCAATAGTCATCAATTAAGCAGTAATACTGTGGGGGGTGGATAAAGAAAGAAATACAGTTTACATGTCATAGTAGTAACTACCCTCAAAGTGGCAACTGAGGAGGTGATGACACTCCAGGTGAACTGGTAACAAGCGGAAGGCCGATTCAATGTCGGACTTCGTTAACCAGGCTCCAACCCCGGCATCCCTGACCAATTCCAACGCCCTGTCGAAAGACGCGTACCGGACGCGGCTAAACTCCTTATCAATGCCGTCGTTAACAGACTCACCTGCTGGATAAGATAAATGATGAATCATGCGGTAAGCTCCCTCCTTCTTTTTGGGGACCAAACCCAACGGCGACACCCGAAGATTCACAAATGGCGAACGGACAAAACGGCCCTGCCATCCTCCCCAAACTTACCTCTTTGTCCAATTTTTTTCCGCAACATCCCTTCCCTACCCTGAATCGAGCGCAAGTTGTTAGCAAAATGCGGCTCCGCCGAGGGAACAAACGGAACCCAAAACCCCGACAAAAACCCGTCCGCCAACAGCAACGCATCCCGCCGCTTAGGATACCGAGTGAGCCACGGCGCCATCCTTTCCCCTCTCACCGGGGTCCAGGCCTTTTGGGGCGGCGTCCGCAGCCCCACCTTTGGGAGGCACCTGTTTCCCCTTTTTGAAACAGCGCGACGCAGGATGCGCTCCTCCACAGTGAGAACACTCATGTCGAAAATGGCAGGAACTATACCACCTGCCCTGAAAGGGCGCCGGCCGGCTGGGAGTCATGAGCAGCAGCCAAAGGCTGCCATCCTGCACCCCGAAGTCCAACCCCGGGCATACCGCCATCTTCTGCCGAAATTGCTGGTCATAACGAAACCAGCATTGACCGCCGTATATTTTGTAAGCCCCCCAAATGAGATCTAGGTACCCGAATAACGAAGGGGCCCTTTCCGGGAACTGCCTGGACAACACACTAGCGAAAACCGCAAACCCTTGCAACCAGTTCCCAAAAGTTCTTGGGAGCTGCTTGCCCTTGTCCCCTTCCCCCGGCTCCCCCCGTCTCGGCCTATCCACGGCATCCTTGTCCGGCTGAACCAGGGAAAGCAAATCCACAAATTCGCCGCGCACTATCTTCTCGCGCGTCTTGCTAGGGACATGCATGCCCAGCGGAGATAACTCACACCCAGGTATGCTGGGGCGAAAAGCGCACATTGGAGCTGCAGGCGCGGGCCCTGGCGCAGAAGCCAATGCCCCCCCTTGCGCAGCCCCTGGTAATCCTGCACTAGGGCCCTAAGCAAGCACAAAACCTCCCCCTGCACCTCCCTGGAACCCCCTATACTGGCCCCCAGACCACCCCATGCGCTTGCGCAGGCTGACTCACCGGACACAGGAAGGTTGCCAGGAACCTGTTCCTCCAGCAGCTCCTCCTGCTCCTCCACGCTGTCTTCCTCTCCCATTGCCGCTTCCTCATCCATCTCCAGCTGGCCTCTCCACAGGCCGCCATCCTCCGCTTCTTCTGGCCGACCACCGCCATGGCCGCCATCCCCCGAGCGCCTGAGCCGGACGCCCAGCCTGCCGCCGTCCCCCCATGCCTCCCGAGCACTTTCCAGGCCAGCCTCCCGGCTGCCCGGCTCTCCGGACCGGTTTGCCCGGTTCCAAGATGGCGGGGCCTGCGACGTCAGTGCTCTCCGGCACACTGACGTCACGTAATCGCCCCGCGGTGCCTCCGCCGACGTCACTCTTCCCGCGCGCCGGGCGCGCTCAGACGTCACTTCCGGTTGGGCCGGAAAAGAAGCCGGACTCCTCGACCGCGTCCCACGTCCGCCGCCATCTTGATCCCGCCGACCAGCCTCCATCTCTCGCCGCAGCCGCCCTCCTGCAGCCCGGACAGGTAAGGGGACACCTCCACTCGCTCCGTCCGACCCGGTCACTCTCCTCCTACCGCTGCTTCGCCGCACTGGGCTGGGGGAAAGGCACGTAGGAGGCATGGATCGCCTAGGCCTTCTACCGCCATCTTGTCTCTCCACGGGCTCCACCACTGCTGCCCCATCGCTGCCACCCTGCAGGCCGGCCATCACTTCACCCAACGACCCGGTGCCATTCGCCGACAGATATGCCTGCAGCATCTCCACCAGGGCATCCTTGGACACCACCGCCATAGCTCTCCCCATGCAAACGTGAGTAACTCTTCTAGCCAGGTGAGCAGTTAATTGAAAAATTAGTAAAAGTTGTTCTCTATTTTTTTTTTTTTGTCTCAGAAGGTGTAGGAAGAAGGAAGGAGATTAAAGAAAAGGGCGGGAAAGCTCCTTTTAGATCTCTTCCTACCTACTGAGTGACAAGGGCCCACCCCCAGATTCCCTTATTTACTAGGTCCCTTATTGCTACATATGTATCCCTTTATGTCCATCCCCCCTCCCTGGGCAGCAGTCATGTCTTTCCCTTCCTTATTCAGTCCAGGGAAACCTTTACTGAGGAACCTAATCTATTAGCTTTAAAGACTAGACTTACCCTCACGGACAGTCCAGGGTCAGAATGCCAGCACGTACCCTTGACTAGAGATGCAGCAACAATGCCTACCTGTTTGGCCTTGCATAGATCTCACCAATAAAGTACAGTTGATACCCCTTTCATTAAAAATGAGGTCCACACCATTTGTTTGGTATCCCCTCTCCCCCATAACTCCTTTCCTGCAACTGTCAAAAATTACCTACTAAGCCCTCAGT